TTTACCATGGCACTACAACACTTTAGACAGCCATATTTATTTCTACATGAAGTGCATATTCGACAACAGATTAGGTTTGATTAATTTAATTTGTCTGTTAACTTCCTGTCTTTGGTCCGTATATTTTCCTTGGCGCAATGTTGGCAAGCACCGTCCGTCTGTATTCGTGTCCCTTGCCCGAAAACTGACTTTCACACTGTGGTCAAGATATTGATCGCAGTGAAGATGGAAGCGATACCTTCATCCGAAACTTTGGAAACCACATAGCCCAGATTACTCCTACAAATATCTTCGTATTTCCGACATTCAATAGGACGACAAATTATCTTTCATTCTATTTAATTAAATATTCATCATATCGAAAAATGTTACGAATAATGCTATAGATCTGCCATCACGTGCTCATTCATACGACGATCTGTTTTTGAAAATAAATCGATAAATTTGGATTTCATCTTCATGTAAAGTAGGACGTTAAAACATAATAAGTTTAATGTAGATTATCAATTTATTTTAACAGTTTTGGATGTATAAGGCGAATGGAGAAAGAATATGATCTCCTCGTTGTGTGTTTATTTCATTCAGTTTGTTCAAGGAATGCTTGATAACTGTCAGGTGCTGGTTGAACAGCCTGTACCACGGAATTAGTAATGAGTACAAGACGCTTTGAAGGGCCTAGTGCGTATAATAATGTCCTCTTATGCACGTTAGCGTGAAGCTTGGTTGCTCATTTGTTGTAACACAGATTCGCCCATAGGCTGCTGCAGCCCAAAATTACTATCATGTGACTTATTTACGATGAAGGCTACGATCACCTGTTCTAGCCACCTTTTTCTATGCATCTCTCCAAATGTTTTATCGATCTTTAACCTCTCACATGTTATTAGTATTTCTTTTCAGTCTCAGAAGAATAAAATAAATTAGTTCGTGTTTGTTAATTTCCAAGGTAATTCCGTGAAGAAAAGGGAGTGTTAATGCCAGTGTATATTATAACATGGCCGTCCGTTGCTGCATTTTACATGAAGCCGGCCAGATAACTGGTCCCGTTACTACTCTGTTAAACTCAAGGCTTGGTGTTTTTATACAAGTCTCTACGCATAAAAGGGAATTGACCGGGAAGGAATCCATAATTTAGTAGACCTGTTTGTAAATCTTTCCCTTCAGACATCATTCATTGAAAAAAAAATTCAAAGTCCCTTGTCCAGGTTTCTTGATATAAACAATTAGTACAATTCTGAGATATAAATACATTCTTTGTTGTTGTTTCGATGTTCATTTACTGTAGAATGTACGTGACGTTGTAAAGTTATCGTACTACAAATATCAGACTCCGGTGATAGGTGTATTCAGTTCTTTGATAACGCTGATCGATGCTGCAGGAATTACAACAGAATGTGTGTAAATTTTCTTTGTGATCTGCGTGAAGCTTTGCCCTCACTCGCCCATTTGACTTCACAGAGTCGTACTTACGCATTCTACATTTTAGTTATGTAATGATGAATGTTAAGGTGGTTGTGGATGATGAATTGGAGACGATGTGGAAGGAAGCGGTCGTGGAATATTTTGAGATATACTCCAACCAATAACTTTGACGGACTCACAGAAATCTCAGTCAAGTGAGCCGAGATTCGAACCGTGTACCTCTCTAATATGTGCAGCAATTTATGGCCGTGTTATATCAGCTCTACGTTCGATGATGTACCTGATTGATAATGATGTTTGAAGTGAATAATAATCATTTAGTTAAGTATCTTCTGTTTTCTGTATCTTAAACTCTCTCATTTCTTAGTTTCCTTTTAGATTCCAATACTGCACTTTAACCTCTGAGTTCCTTTGGTTTGGAGGTATTACAGCATTTATTCTTTCTACCGGAAAAAGGAACTATCGTAACGATGAGAAGGAGCGATAGACCTCTCTTATTCCGTTTAAGAGACAGAGCATTCGTTTTCCGGTTGTCGATTAGAAAGCATGCATCTTTTAATTTCATATTTCGTATTTCACCTGTTACAATATGAATTAATATTCTTATTGCGTTTATAAGCGAAATGCGGTAAGAAAGTGTGTCTGTATTATTCATCACAAATTCTATTGTATTCTTATGAGTAATTAGTGTTTTTCATCAGGTGGTAACAAATATCATTATAACCAGGTAGAATTATTTTCGTATGCTACTTAAGGTTTTTACAGCTCTTTGTAGCTTGATTTTTGCACAAATTCCATAAATGAAAGAAAGGCAGTAGTGTCTTCTGTCTATGATGAAATTGAGAAGGATGACACGGGAAAAACATATAACGCGCATAAGATGGAACAGAAATTCATACAAAATTCCGGTCGGAAAACTCTAAAGACTTGGAAGACCTAGAAATAAATGGAAGATCACTGTTACAGCGTATCTTAAAATATAATATAAGATAAATAGTTGTAGGCCTAACCTAATTCATCTTCAGAATTGGTCCATTGGCGGTCTTTTATGAAAAATATAATGAGCCTACGTTTTCCATAAAATGAGGCAATCTGTTGACTATCTGAGTGATTGTCAGTTTATCAAGAAAGACTTTCATCCTCTGGTGGCCACCCAACTGTTACTGGTCCCATTCTTGAGGAGTAAAGAGGCTGGAGCGTGTAGCTATCACTTGCTTCCATCTGGCGCAAACGTTAAGAATGCTTGCGTGATACGTCTTCATGGCGTGGTACCACCATTTCCTTCACTGGAGTCTACACTGAAATACAGCAGCCAATTTAATTTTGGCTCGTATCGATCAGATAAGTATTAAATATTTTAAAGCTCCTACAAAACTTATCGTTTTCTCAGAAATTATCCTAGCCGATTGCCGTGTACTTACTTAATACGAGTCTGTACTATCGTCTTCCCAGCATCGTTAGAACGTTCTGACCGAAAGTCGCAGTCGAGTGGTTAGCACCCCTTCTTATTCGGTATGTTCCTGGATCGAATTCGGCCCAGAGATCGGCTATCCTAACCAAGTTTTCTCGTGGTTTTTCTCAGCATCTCCAGATAAAATATTGCCTTAAATTAGGCCACTACTGCTTCCTTCCACGTCATTTATAATTCATTTTTCACTACCCAACCCATCATTCGATACTTTTAATTTGAATTTCCCAGGTGGCTACGTGCTCGTCATCCATTCGCTCTGTCTGGACGTTCGTGTTGGCAACTGAGATGCGTCCAAGAACGTTTCTCGTGTCAGATTGTTTGAATCAGTAATTAAAGAACTATGCAGTGAGGATACCGGTCTTGGTAGCATTCCACCTGTGATGTCTCGAAGTAGCTCACTAGACTGGGTTACCTACTTGCTACAAGAACTGAAACGTGTGTTGAGATTGATAAATTTGAGCAGGTGCCACAGGCGAAGTACCATAACAGATTTCGGACCTTCCCTGTTATCTGCCATAAATTTTAAACTCTGGGACGGAGAAGGGATTTTAGGTCAGTAGGTGTTACCTGGGCGAGGTTAAGGGTCACGGTGGCAATCCTCGGATCTTAAACAAAAAATAACCTTTACTCCGAGACCAGTCAGAGATGAAACCCTGAACTTGGGACCGAGGATGTAATAATGTGCTGTTTGGTCAGGGCTGTCACACACCTGAGGCAGTGACAGGTGAATGTAGAGAAATGATAAATTATGATTCGCGGGATAAAACTGAGGACTCCGAGGAAAATCTCCTCCAGCCGATCACAAATCCTACTTGATGTCTCCTAGGATTGAATCCAGGTCGGTACGAGATAAATACTCTCTGCGATCTCTGGAAATTTCGTATTTAAACACAACAGGATGTGTTGTTTGTTCGAATCTGTTCTGACTGACGATGAACACCACAAAGATCGATCATTGTGACGGCTGCATGGCAGACAACAGGAAATGTCTCATGTTTCAGATTTTTTTATACATTATTTGCACAATTCTTGAAATGACTTTTCCTACATCCCTTTTTTCCCCCCTCGAAAGTACTGACTTGGTTTGAATTATATTCAGCATTAAGGGTTCTAGGCTGAAAGTCGTTTGGCGAATAAAATTTTGGTTAGTGTGAGCCCTACATGGCACGACACTCAAATCGAACTTAATCGATTTCTAAAAAAGGGCTTAAATTCCAAATGTATAAGATGGTAAAGTTGCGTCATATTGTGATATAATAAGTATATGTTAAATCTTGTCCGTCTAATCACAATAATTCTTATTAAATATTAAAATATTATAATAATTAACATTTTAAAATATTTAAAATATTTTAAAATATCGAAATATTCGAATATTTCGATAAAGAATATCATTTAATATTTTAAATATTTTAAAATGTTAATTATTGTAATATTTTAATATTTAATAAGAATTATTGTGATTAGACGGACAAGATTTAACATATACTTCCAAATGTATGTCTTAAACCCGCATTTGAAGTATTTTCGGATGTCTTGAATATTTAACAAAACTGAAGGATTATAATAGCATTTTTGTTTAGGTAAATGACT